GTGTGTGTGTGTGTGTGTGTGTGTGTGTGTGTGTGTGTGTGTGTGTGTGAGGCCGAACCTGAGTTTCTGTCGGGCCTGTCGAAGACGAGGAGGAAAAGAGTCGCTGAAGAGTCCGCCTGACAGACGGCTGCTTGCGTTTGTCTGAGAACACGACGCGGCAACACATGTCAGAGGAGACAGACTGACATCTGACGGGCGAACCTGAGGTGACGTGCGAAGGAGGAGCTGTGTTACTTGACCCTGTGTGGTTGGTGGAGGGCTCCTGAGGGCTGGGGGCTGAGATGGGTCCGTTGCATTCCTCCTGCTGAAGGGARCAACGTGTTCGGTGATCATGGGACAAAACATCAGGGACAAAATGAGCTCAAACTTCAAGAAGTGAATTTTCTGCAAAAATGCATCGTAAATGATGACTGCTGAAGAAACTAAACTGAGCTGGTGAAGATAAAAGAAGCAGAACACTAGCTAAAAAAGCTAAATGATATCTAAAAGCTCAAGGTAAAAAATGCTAGCTAAAATCAGCTAAAGTTTACTTGAAAACTAAAGTAGCAAAGGACAGGCTAAAAGGATAAATAAGCTGATTGCTAGCTGAAAATTGTGGAACAGTAAAAAACTGAGGCACAAAAGACTAATTAAACTCTAAAGGTAGCTAAATGGTAGCTAAAAGCTAAAATTAGCTAAACGTGGCATAAAAATTAAAGTAACAAAGGAGTGGCTGAAAGCAAAAAGTAACATAAGGCTAGTTATATGCTAAAAGTAGAGGAACAGTGGAAAACCTGAACTGAATGCTAAAAGTAGCTAAATTATAGCTAAAAATAACAAATAGTAGTGGAACAAAAAGAAAAGGTAAGGTAGAAAAAGCTTCAAGCTAAAAGTAGCAAAACGTTAGCTAAAAGAAGCATACGGTTACTTAAAGCTAAATATAGCAAAAGACTGGCTAAAAGCATGAAATAGCATATAACTGGCTAAAGTAGTGGAGCAGTTAAAAAACTGAGTTTAAAAAGACTATGTATGTGCTSAAAGTAACTAAATGGTCGGTAAAAGCTAAAATAAACTAGCATAAATGGTCGGTAAAAGTTAAAATAAACTAAATGGTAGCTAAAAACTAAAAGGAAAAAAAGACATGCTAAAACAGCTGAAGACTAGCTACATGCTAAATGTAGTGGAACAATAGAAAACCTGAGGTAGCAAGAGACTAAATGCTAAAAGTAGCTAAAGGGTGGGTAAAAGTGAAAGACTAGCTAAAAGTTGTGGAACAAGATAAAGGTTAAAGAAGCAAAAGGTTTGCAACAAGTTGAAAGTAGCAAATAGGTAAAAGTAGCAAAAGCTTAAAGTAGCAGAAGAAGATAAAAACAGAGCAAATATGAGGAATTATTAACACACCTTATCAGGATTATCATCTTCATCCTCATCTACGAAAGTGAAGGACTCCCAGCTGATTTTGGAGCCTTGGTCCGGTGAACTCTGATCTCTTTCAAAGACTCGCCTTTCTGCAGAGAGCCACCAGTCTRAGACGGCCTGAAGCTCCGTCCTCTCTATTGAGCCCAGAAGAATCATGGATTCTGCAGAAAATCAGAACAAAAGTTTTAATATTTGGAAAAAAAATCGGATTATTGACTTTACTCTCACAGCTGCAGGAAAGCGATTAAAAAAGAGGTTAGCTTAGCATAAAGCCTGGGAATTGACTGAAGGTGAATTAGACTGAAAACACACATTAAGGCTTTTCATTAACCTTGTCTAATCCTTCAACACTAAGCCCTTAAAAGGGAAGCTACAGGCTTAAGAACCGGTGTAATGTGGAGGCCGACCCACCTTTGGTGTCGACGAGCGGGATGGTTTTCAGGGTCGTGTTCTCTAACAGGTGGTTTATTTCCCGGAAGGTGGATTGGGAGGACAAGAATTTCACTTTGCGCACCATGATGTCCTCCACAAAGATGTTGTACTTGCTGTGGATGCAGCAACAAATAAATCAACTTTTTAGTTTTCATGAATAAAATGCTGCACTGAGAAGCAAATGAAAAGTTTGGACTTCACCTGATGTGTCCGAGAGCCAGCTCAGGCAGGTAGGGCAGTTTCTTCACCTGGATGATGGAGTCATAGAGAGAAGGCTGCAGACCCTGAGCCACCATGTTGGCCAGGATGACYGCCACCATCATGGGCAGGATGTGGGATATTTGACCCGTCAACTCGAAGCAGATTACAGCTGTGGAAACCGTGTGCGTGACCGCACCCGTCATCGCCGCTGCACCTGACAGGAAGCAGGGAAGAGCAGGAAGGTTGCATTTAAACTGTGCATTTATCTTAGAAACAAACATTTCTGGGCTCCAAACACATATTGGTGAAAAGTATTGGATCATTATCCACTGTAACTAATTCTAAAGTTTTGAATACTGACATTTCCTATTTCAGAAAAAAAGATTACTCTATTTTTAATAAACACTGGATGCAATTTTTAAATCTGCTTTTATCATCTGAATTTTCTCTTTTTTTAACTACATTATTAAAACAAAACTAGTGTTCGTTGAAGGTATGCAGATCACCCACCTCCTTGCATGTCAGCTTAAATAAAGTTGTAGCGTGGTGTGAATTCCTGGATGTGAATGACATTCAGCTATTACCACACCAAATTTTAAAGGGGCAACATCATGTAAAATCAACATTTTTGAGTTTTATGTCATATTATAATGTTATACTCTCATAAAAAACATGCCCAAAACCTTGCTTTGACTCATTCATGCATGTTTGAGAAATCCTGCAGTGTTTTTAGGAAGCCATGTATGCTGAGGAGCAAAACGACAAGTGGGGACCAGAAACGCATTTTGGGACCAGAAACACCCCTGGGACGTGTCTTTAAGCCGAGCTTCCTCATGGCAGCCCCCCACACACACACACCATCCCTCCCCACACACCCCGCTCATGACTCCTGCRGGCTCTCGGCAGTAACAAAGCAAGGGTGAAACTGACTGAAACTGTCTGCTGAGCTCCTAACGCTAGGMTACTTCTCACTCAGTGAAGCTCTTTTCAAATTCAAAATACCTTTGAGGAAATGTATTTTCAGATGCCAAGTAAACTGCATCATAGCGTGCGCRTGAACCCCACGCACTGAAATGGACGGGACAGAAGCGGAAGGTGGTTCTTAAAGGGTCAGAGACCAATTTCAAGGTGTTTAGAAGAGGAAGTGATGAGAAGATAAGTTTATTTTCTATTTAAACATAAAAACAGCATTTTTTGTGTCACTTCAGTAGAAAACAAAACCAAATATTATTAGTTTATTTAGTTTATTTATTTCTTCATCATCAGTGACTTTTTTTGGTGAAGAGAAAATAGAGAAAGAGAGAAAAACAGAGAGAGAAGTGATTAGAAAGACTGAAATAGCGATTAGAAGTATATTAAATATACACCAACAAAACACAGGACCACACACCCAACATCTGTCTGCTCACCTGAAAAATAAATGGATAAATACATGGAGGACATATATAAATATATACACATACCCATACATRTATAAAGATATACATACATACATGCCTACATTCATAAATATTGTCAGTATACACACAAAGACATATATACACACTCAGTGACCTGTCAGAACCYCCGGATCAGAGCACCTGTTTGTGAGTGGTTGTGAACATGCGTGTATATACAAGATTTAAAAATAGAAAATAAAAACAGCATTTCAATAACAACTAAATGTGACATAGATACTTTATTATGGTATAGTCCTGAGACCCCAGAAGAAAAGAACTTTTGGTATTTAAATTTTTTTTCATGGTTTAAGTATTGAGGTTGAAAGAAAGATATTGCAACAATTCTTTTTCATAAATGTTATTTATTTAAATTTTACCAAATGTCTCTTACAATGGACATTGGGTCTTGCTTGATATAAAAATTTTCTTTACATAATGATTTTTTAAAACTGATAAATTACATTTGTTTTTATTCTATAAATACTTAAAACAGATTTATATGTTTTGAAATTCATAAACAGACAAAACAGTGGAAGAAATAGCTTTAAAAAGTGCTTACATAACTAATTACATGTCTGAAATGCATCTAAGCATTTAAGTACTCTTGCTGGTTTGTGTATTCTGACATTTTTTTCAAAAATGCTATTATCGATGTACTGTTTACAGTAATCAATTGGCCTCCAGTCTTGGAGATTGTGCTCATTGCTTTCCTGCAAGGGATTCTCCTCCACAACAGGGTTGAAACTATGTTGATTGAAAAAAGAGAATTATACATTAACGTAATGCAAAATGTGTAATTACATATTTAATTGCCATTACAAAATTTTACATTATTGTGTCTATGTGTTATAAATTTTTAAAAGCTGATTTTTTTTCCTTTGCACTCACTATTACCAATAAATTCCATGACCCTAACTTACACATTACTTTTCATCAATATTGGCTGGCAAGTATCTTCGTTGTTCCTCTTCAGGCTCCTCAAAAACTGTTATGTCTTGCTCTGAACTTTCACATACCTKTTCTGCTTTCTGGCCTGCCTCCTCCTCATCTCCTGACAGATTTTAGTCTGACTCTCCTTCCACAACACTCATTAAATCATTTCTGCCTCATTCAGTCTTATATATTTGAAATCATGAAAACTGGCTAAGATCATCATTAGCAAGTCCCACTGTCCCCTACAAAGGACAATGGATAACACTTGTATTTTTACAGGGTTAACAATATTGTAGATTTCTTAAATTGTACAAATGAATAGTGCAGACTTTCATACTAATGAGGAAATGTCATTTTTTGCAATTTAAATAATTTTTGATAGGAAATTTATCACTTACCTACCCTGTTGCCTTAAAATGTTGATTTGAGGATTTCCGCCATTTTAAAAAAGCAAGTACATGTGCTCTGAAAGTCACATGACCACAAATGTGACATCAGTAGAAAGCCCAGGATGTCCTCTTTACAGCACAGTGGACTAACATAGATCACAAGTGTAATGTTAAAAATATAGGTCTGAAGAGCATGTCCCCCACAGGGGACAAAAATGAATTGATGGGTTTCAGGAGGATGGTATTTAAACGTATGCCTGAGAAACACATAATATTGCCACTTTAACGTAATATTCAGAAAACTGGCTGAGTTGTAGTATTTTCTATTTGCTAGAGTTGAGTAGCTGTGGTGGCCATTCAATGACTGCTTTCTTCAAGTTTCATTCAAATCTGTCCAGTGACTCATAAAATACTTTGCTAACAGACAGGGTTGACATCATCAGTCAATGCAAAGTTGTAAACATATACTTCAAACAATTTGTTAGAGCCCTGAGTATGTGTTTGACATAACCTCCAGCTACTCAATCTGTAAGGTTACAACCATTTTTTTCTTGGCTAATGCTAACTAGCTATAGTGGCCATCTTAAATTGGATTGATTCCAAAATCAGCTCTAAGACGTTGAGCTGCAGTGATAAAATATCCAAAAATCTGACATCAACCTTCACTTCAAAATAAACATTTTCTTCACTATGATGTTTTTAGTGCATGTTCTGTTTATATCCTGACCATCCTGTTAGGAAGAAACTCATTAATGCATATAGTTAGGCTGAAATAATTTATTTCATATGTACCTACAGGTTAGGGTAAAATTGGGTTAGGTTGGTGAATTATGGCAGAATAAGTCTCTAATGAAAAACAAATTATGTATACGTATATACAGTATATGTAAAAAGCAAAGTCAGATGGGTGTTATGTGAATTTGTGTATCTGTGCATGTGATATTTTGATTATATGCTACCATCGGTTAGGCAGACTAACCGATGACGGCGTAACCTCCCGGCAGGATGCGGTAAACTATCCCATCAAACAGAATTCCGTTCGGGAACAGAGTGGCCATGATCTCCCCGACGAGTCGACCGAAAGCAGCTCCTTGAGGGGGGGACAGATAAGAAGACCCACAGGTGAGGACAAACTGAACAGAAGCTCAGCGGGAGATACTGCGCTCACATGACAAAATCCTCTTACCCAGAATGAAGACGGGCATGAAAGCGCCGGAGGGGATCGGCATCGTGGTGGAAACTGCTGACATCCAGAACTGCAGCACAAAAAAAAAAGGGATCAAAGTAGGATCGAGTCCCGGCGGGTTGTTTCTTTAAAAGCAGTGAATACCCTGCAGCGTCATGAGGGAGGGTGAGATACCTTCATGATGAAGAAGAGGAGGAGGATGACGAAGACGCTGACATTAGGGTGAAGCCAAGCAGAGGAGCGGCCAAGGCCAGGGGGAGCTGCGGGCACTGAGATTTTAGTCCAGGTGAAATTGTCGAACAGGGAATTGATGCACTCTCTGGGCATCAGCTGAAAAACACAAGTGTCATCATGAGTTTAATACAGTAAGTATAAACCACTCTTCATATATTTGATTTTAGCTTCAAAGGGGCCAAACTKTCTTTTTCTTAAGGAGGTTTCTGAATAGCTAACATTTTTGCATCCATCAATAGTAGGCTTCCAACTGAAAGAATGAACCAGTGTCAGACATAAACAGCTTAAAAAGAAAGTTTTAGAGTGCCTATGACATGCATATTCTTTAAAAAACAAAAGTAAAAGAGAGCATTTCTTATTTATAGAAATTGGCATAATACACATTATTTTACACATTTTGTTACATAACTGGCGTATCTTCTTTTCAACTTGGCTCGGCTAAAGTGAAAGAGGATGTGACATCAAAGGGGAACTCTAAGAACTCCCTGATCTTTGTTTAATGAAGCAACAAATAAAGAAGAATCAGATTCTTCTCTACAGTCTGTGTCGTCAGCCATTGTAGCAATGCTCTGTTCACATGCAGACATTCCCCTTTGACATCACTTCCTGTTACTTCACATGCAAATATCTCAACAACTGTTCAACTCAATGACATGAAATTTCTTTTGCAATATGTTATTAATGTTATTTTTCCAAAAATACATTTATATTTATTACAAAAATTTGACGTCACAGGCACTTTAATGTTTAACTGCATCCAATAAACAATGTTTTCAGTTTAATTAATCAAAATAACCAAAAACAACAGTTTGACTACAACTGTTATCATTGTTTTGTGGTGGTTTTGCACCAACAACACAATTTTAAGAGTTATTAGTGGTTTAAGTGAACAGGAGCTGGGTAGATAAAACAATGAATTACTGATATCTTACCTATTGTAGAGCGCTTTGAATGACCTCAGTTTGATTACATTTTTTTATTTGATTAGAACTGAACCTTTACAGCCAACAGGAGGGGTGCTCAGCTGGGGACTGAGCTCCAGGGAGGAACTRTGTACAAATGGGTGGAGCTTTGTACCAGCAAGCATTTATAAAGCTCCACATGGCTGCCACAGGAGATYTAAGGATTTCTCAAATATGCATGAATGAGTCAAAGCAACACTCTGGGTATGTTTTTGATGAGGGAATGACATTATAACATGATATAAAACTCAAAAAAGTCATTTTTGCATACCCCCCACCATTAAAAAATAAATTTACCTAAATAAATCATGACCACAGTCATTAACACAGTGAAGCTGATCTAGCTGGTTCTGCTAAACGTCCCATTTGAGCCACAATTTTAAATTTCATCCAACTTCCTCTGAAACAAATAAGCTTTTTGACAGTTATTTTGTCAGTCTGCCCATGAACAGACTTTTCTGAACAAAAAGGACCAGTTTAACCTTTTGAGTTGCTTTAAGAGTTCAAATGAAAGCTTTTTCCCCCTTCAAACCCATGAGAAAACCACACTACCCAGACTTACTTAGTAGTTGATGAGAAAAATGTCTGTGTGACTGATTGAGTCTCACCTCTCCAGCCATAAACTGCCCAAACCCAGGGGGGAACGTGAAGGTGGCGATGATCAGAGTCACTGCACCTGGATAGATCAAGCGACTGGGCGTACACACACACACACACACACACACAC